GACATAAAAAAAAAACAGCAAATAAACAAAAATCTTAACATCAAAAACAACATATACAAATATAATTGTTTTATTTATACATTTGATTCATTTTGCAGTACAATTTTGTGATGTTTTCTTTTAATGATATTCTATTATTTTTTACTGTATTCGTTCGATTTGAGTGTACTCTACTCTACTACTTGAATTTCGAATACTAATTCTGTTTAAATTGAAATTCGAATTCGAACTTGAAAAAATTTAATTTAAAAAATTTGAATTTTTTTATTTGATCATTTAAAACGTTAAATTTGGTAATTTAAATTTATGAACGCAAATTTGAATTTGAACTACTGTTTGACCGTAAAGTTTAACGAATTCACGCTGATACAAAGAGTGCAGTTTTATGCTTGCAAGTTCGTAAAACCGATTATTAGAGGCATACTTAAAATTATAGTTTCGCGCCAAAAAAAGCAGACATAATTAGTAAAAATGTGATATAGAAGTCGTATACCCGGTTTATGGTGTCCGCGATCGTGTCGCTAGAAGTGACAGGAGGAAATGGTGAGTGGGTTCCAAAAGTTTGGAACTTTGGTGAAACCTTTCCATTACAACGCAAATCTACCTGAACGTTTCATCTCAACTGATAGTGTGACGTTGATCGCGAATAGTGACGTATGCTGTATGTGTATATTACCACTTGCATTTGAGTAGCAGTAGCTACTGAGGCAGACGCGTGGCTAGACGTGACACTTTTCTCGTGTGGACAGTGTGCAATAACTTGTCGACCAGACAACAGAAGAAAATGACCGTGAATGAGGATCTGAAGTTTGAACGAAGTAAATGTACGTTCAAACCTATAGAATTAACTTATTTGTTAGATGGCAGCCCAGAGAAGACGCAAGAACGTCGTGAACGAGGTACACAATTTGAATTTTTTCATTTTTATGAAATTTAAACCTTTCCCCACGAACTTCAGTCTTCGAGCGCCACTTTCTATCGGTTTCTCGTTTGAAACACTTACAATTAGTCAAAGATACTAAGTGACACGAGAAAAGTAGTAAATGACTTCTATTATTACTTGAACGATTAGGTGTAAATTCTGGTGATTACTTAGTGGAATTAGATAGAAGTTAGGATATAAAAGAGATTCTCGCAAAGAACTCAGTGTATTACAGTCATCGCTCGTACAAACAAAAATTATAAAATACGAATCGTCACGGAACGGAGTGTTGAGAAATATCCGGAAGTGAAATGATTAAATAGACTTCGAAACCGTAAACGTTTAGAAAGCATGAAAAGTGGAATATTACTGTTATATTATATTATTAATAGTAAATAAATCAGTGACAGTTAATAAAATTTTTTTTTCACTGTAACAGTCAATTTTTCATGCTTATGTTAATCGAAGGATAGTACCATATTTGCCATTGCAATTTACATTTGTTTTGTAATGCACAAAAATAGACGTGTATTTAAAAAGGTTAATTTGACATGCGTTAAGGTTCTCGATACTTGTCACGAGTGTAATACAAAAATATTTATCTTTCACTTGCTACATTGATCAGAGACATTGAATGTCATAAATAGTAAAATTTCACTTGTTTCTTTAAATTAATATCTTGCAATTTATAGTCGAGTTCATAAACAAACAAACTAATGCAAAATTCCTTTGAAAGTAGACACTTTTCCGTGTTATATTAAACGTTTCTTTGAATTAAAAAGAAAGTTCAAATTTTTTTTTTGGTTTCTGTTTTTCAGTAACATACGGTTATAGATTGATATCTGTACATTGTAATTTCGATGTCGGTTATGTAGTAAAATTTACTGATACGCGGAAATGAGTGATCGTGATATTGATATAACTGTGTTTAAATTCATTTAATACGGAACATGCGTTCGACTAAATGAATGCGCATAAAAATTATCCAGTTACGCATACATTCGTCTATCACAATATGTAATTTTGACATTCCGCAAAATATTTTTGATCGATCATTTTGTTTATTTCAAGAAGTTCGATGTCTTTAACGCATTGCGACAAAAATTACACCTGTTAAACTTTGATGGCTTTTAAAACACACGACCGTTTCTTTTCTTGCTTTGGAATAACGATTAATTAAAATCGGCTAGTGTACACGGATAAATAATAGCTTTTGTCCAAAAATTTCCTTATCACACTATATTTTATCAAACGTAGAACAGCATGAGTCATTAATCGTTCCAGTAATCGTTATAAGATGGAATGTGTGGTTTCTATGATTTTTGCTTCAATGTTATTGCAGTATTGCAAACCTTATCGAGAAAATATATTAACAATCACGTTGCGTTTTACGTTGCGTTTGCAGTTAATATGTCACAAGTGATATTTGGCTGATTGATAAAGAAGAAATTTTTGAAAGTACTGCTTTTAAATGGATTCGGTAAGAAGTTCGACTTTAATTCAAGAGTGATGCACAATCGATTGCTTCTTGCGGGTTTTTTTCATTTTTGTTCAACGGCACGTATATAGGTTCGAATTCAATTTTTCGCGAATCTGAAAATCGTACAGTCACATCGAGACGAATGTAACCGTTTTTCATTTTTGTCAAGATAAGCTTGTGCTTTATTTGTTCGATCGAAAGATTAGCTCGCAATGACGTATAATATACGTGAAAATGTGGAGAATAGCGTGCATTTCATTGAAGCAGTTTTTTTAAAAATTTGCATCATTTTAGTCTCTTGCAGGTTCATTTCTAATGCAAGGTTTTTAGTCAATTGACTTAATGAATTGCAAAAAGAATTTGTAAATGTTTTTATACATGTATAAATATATGAGTTACAGATATAACGAGGCGGTATCGACAATAAAATCAGACCGATTTTCAGATTTTATATCTTATCGTTTTTAGTAATAATAATTTAACAAGTCGTCATCTTTCTCGATCATAGGTCACCAAGGACATAGTTCAATTTTTTTGTATTGATTAATTTCGCGTGAACGATAATATTAAATTTTCAATAGAATATTTGTATTAGCTCATTTTCTTCGCAGACATTATAAATAAAGAAATAAAGAATTATTTAAAAAATTAGTTTATTAATATTTTGCCAATTGAAGTTACTTTTTGTTTTCTTTTCCAATACGTATTACTGCAATATTGCATAATCATATTACTTTTCCTTATATTGTCCATTACCTATTACTACAGTTGTTGCATTATCATTTATTAATGTCTCAAGCTCAATAGTTGAACTTTGTACATTGCAGTTAGTAATTATTTGTCAGAACAACTTTGTTTTTTTTCCCTATTCTTTATTCATGTTTGATTCATTCGTCGGAATGAAAAGAAAAAGAAAAGAGAGACTTTAATCTATTCTTCTTTAAATGCACAATATGTACAATAGTGGAATTTTTTAATAAAATTTACAGTAATTTAATGCAATGATAAAATTTTATTCTTTACTTCTATTTACATATATGTAAAATATCATGTTATACTTCTTTATAAAAACTAATTTGCTTGAATTTTCAGAAGAGTATTTCTTGACTGATCCAGAACTTCAAGACAAAATACCAGTAAAGTACAAGAGTCACAAAGAGGTATATGAAGATGCTGTGCGAAAAGCATGTAAGATCATAGAAAAAATTAGAGAGTTACAACAGTCAGGAAAAGCAAATATAAATGTTTTTACGTAAGTTTTTTTAACAGTATCAAGCAACTATAAAAAAACAGCATCCTGATTGTAAATATTTTGCAGACATGTTCTGGGAGCAAGTCTTGGTTCTGCTATATTAAAAGATGGAAATCCATTGGTGGTGCATTATGCCATGTTTCTCCCAGCTATTATGGGACAAGGAACCACAAAGCAGCAGGCACATTGGATGTCTAGATCTTGGAGTGGCAATATTATTGGAACATATGCTCAAGTAAAATCTAATAAGATTAAAAAAAAATGAAATAATTAAAATAAACTTAAATTTCTTCATTTTTTTTTTAGACTGAACTTGGCCATGGTACGTTTATCAGAGGTTTAGAAACTACGGCGACGTACGACCCCAAAACGAAAGAATTTGTTTTGAATAGTCCAACTTTAACATCTTACAAATGGTGGCCAGGCGGCTGTGAGTATATTGTAATTTTAGATAATGAAAGTGGAATGGAAGATACTACAAATGAGGAGAATAATTTGCTGTTTAACATAATCATTATTTATTCATAATTCTAATTTCAAGTGGGTCATACTGCAAATTATGCAATAGTGGTTGCACAATTATACACACAAGGAGAATGCAGAGGAATTCATCCTTTTATTGTACAATTAAGAGACGAAAATACACACGAACCCTTACCGGGTATGTAAACACGATTTTTGATTGCTCATATATCAGTAATCATAGGGTTAATGCTATTAGTTATCTAAAAAGTAAAGTAGGAAAAAACAAGTAGTCCGTATTAATAGTTGTTTAATTTTTAGGCATTAAAATTGGAGAAATTGGTACGAAATTAGGAATGAACGGTGTCAACAACGGTTTTCTCGGGTTCGAGAATTTCAGGATACCGCGGCAGCACATGCTGATGAAAAACTCTCAGGTAAAAGAGAAAGTATACTCGCTTTCATAGAATTCCTGCAAGAAAAGGAAACAGTTCTATTTCTCCTCTGTGAAACTGGAATTTACCGTTGTAAAATTACGTAGACTGCTCATATCTTATAACACAATCTTGCGAAGAGTAACAATTTTTATTATTTTTGTATCTTCTGTTTTTTGCTAAATCCCTTTCCTGCGGCAGTGAACGTGAAAGGTAAATTATGTCTGTAATCTGTGTAAATAGAACTGGCAGTAAATCGTGCGCTTCGTTAGAAGTTGTAAAGTTAGATTTCCACTTTATAGGTTTTAGAGGATGGAACGTACGTAAAAGCACGTAACGACAAGCTGACGTACGGTACAATGGTGTTCGTTCGAGTAGTATTAGTACACGATATTGTAAGTTATTTATCGAAAGCTGTCACGATTACCACTCGATACAGTTTGGTGAGACGTCAGGGTCAAATTAATTCTGAGTAAGTAAATTCAGAGATAAGTATTTACATCATTTTTCCGTTTTTTTTCTGTCCTACGTTGCAAGCAATATACTATACTGTACTGCAATATAGTATACTGAATATACATAAGTGTCTTTTTTTTAAAAAGACTACATTTTTAATAAACAAATATCTTTCGTTGATATTAATGGACATCTCATTGACACAATTTTGCAATGAGAAAAAGAAAACGAGTTATTTTAACTTTCATGTCGCTTTTTTTTTTCAGAAAGCCCGAAGTACAAATTTTAGATTACGTAACACAGCAATACAAAATTTTCCCACACCTCGCTGCATGTCTCGCATTTAAAATGACCGCGAATTGGATCTGGGATATGTACAATACAGTTACTGCTGAATTAGATCAGGGTGACTTGGACAAGCTGCCAGAGGTATTAGTTTATGTTTTTTTTGCTGATCTGTCTTCCAGTTTTTCTTCATCACTCTAACTTGAGTGTTATTTTCTTTGTAGTTGCATGCTTTGTCATGTTGCCTGAAAGCAGTTGCATCTGCAGATGCAGCAGCTGGAGTAGAGCAATTACGGTTGTCCTGCGGAGGACACGGATACATGGACGCTAGTAATCTTCCTGCAACTTATGGTTTAGTCACAGCTATCTGTACCTACGAAGGAGAAAATACCGTTTTACTGTTGCAAACAGCTAGATACTTGGTGAAAGCATGGAAGCAAGCTGTCAGTGGTCAGCCATTACCAGCCACTGTACAGTACCTTACAATTTTAGCGAAAGGAATAAAACAACGTCCTTGGGAGAACACTTTGGACTGTATAATCGAAGCTTTTCACACAGTGGCTGCTGAGTACATTTCTTTAAATAAATTATTAATGACAAGCTGCAAAAATGTTTGGAGCTATTTCTGAAATTCTTTTTTGTCTTTTTTTTCATAGAACAATTCGTTCAGCAACGATGAACATGGAACGTAGAATACGCAATGGCGCCACTCCGGAAGACGCGTGGAATCAGACCAGTATTGAATTAATGTACTGCGCGGAGGTTCATTGTCGAGCGTTCCTCGTGAAAAGATTTGCGGAAGCTGTTAGGGAAGTAACTTCGGTGTCTCAAGAATTACGTCAAGTATTGTCTCAATTGTGCGAGTTGTACGCCATATATTGGCTCTTGCAGAAACGTGGTGACTTCCTTCAAGTAAGTGTTAGATTTTTTGTAATTTTTGTGTAATTTTATACTACTTCGAATATCTTGAATTATATCGTATATTTTTTTTTCTAGTTTTCTTCTTTGAGAGGCAAGGATGTCTTCAAGCTTCAGTCACGTCTGGAAGATTTACTACAAATGATCCGTCCAAATGCTGTAGGCATCGTGGATGGTTTCGACATTAGGGACGAAATCCTTTGCTCTGCTTTGGGCGCTTACGATGGCAATGTTTACGAACGACTGTTTGCCGAAGCCATGAAGAGTCCCTTGAATCAGGAGAGCGTAAACATATCTTTCGAGAAATATTTGAAGCCTTTCTTCAAGAGCAATCTATAATGTAATTTTTCTCTCTACGTCTCTGTTTCAAGAAAATTCCAAGTGAACTAGAATTATCATTTTATATTTTATAAATGATGATTGAATTTCCTGGAGTATTTTATATTTGACCGTTATCAATTGGGGTAATGGTTGTAAAATATTATTGCGATTATAATTCCAAGAAAAAGTTCTTCCTGAAAATGTTCTTGTACATTTTGATGATCATCGCTCGTGTTGTTTGTTGGTATCGATGTACAACATGGAACAATTGTAACATATCACGCGTGCAATATTGAAGAATATTCCACGAAAGTTAATCTTTCGGCTGACATTTAATGTCTAACAAATAAAGAGGTGATAAAAAAACATTCTTTTTTACAATGTTTAGAGACTATCATTGTAAATATGTATGATCATGGAGTATCATTGTAACAGTTGCGAATGATGTTCGATATAGATTTTATTTTTACGAAAGATTTTTTAACAGCATACGATTATTCTGTGAGATGTTCTAAGTATGTTACGAAAAGAAAGATATTTTCTATGTATTTTTGCTGTTAATAAAGCAGCACTTGAAATGCAAAACATGTATTCCTTCTTTGAACCTGTTATACGCTTCGAAGAAAATTTTCAGATTGGGTTTTCTCATACGGCACAGTGTTTATTTACAGAATAGGAGCGATGACATACAGTATTGATCGTTATCATACTAACATAGTGCAATTATCGTTAATTTCTGTTAATAATAACGTGTTATTAACATAAACGCCCGTAATGAAAATAACACGGTTCATACAGAACTAAAATGCAATTTTTGAGGTTGGGTCGCGTTGTTACGACACGATAACCTTGAATTTCGATCGATTCGTGCAGATCTTAGGAACTTCGAACATCGATTCGATAAACTTGTCACACCTACATACAGATTTAAAAAAATAAGATAGCAGAAAAAAGAGGTATGTAACAACTTTACTGCTTTACGAGCAGGCGGTTATCTTTTTATATATGTACATATACATGTATATACCTGTGTATGTGTGTAGTGACCATGAATGTATATACACATATATGTAGTATATAGTTTATGGAGTTGCGGGGACGATTTAAAAGGGGGGAGCGGGGTATAGACGATACTTACACTTAAAAAATAACATTGTTAATTATCGTTATCATTAAATATTAATTGTATTCACTTTTAAAATTATTATTCATTCGTCCACCTGGCCTATGGGTTCTTCGTCTAATTTTAGACAGACTTTTCATTGCTATAGCGTTCTTACGGAATACATCCTCTTATAAAATATTATTTCATTACAATTAGTGTTTGTTTCTTGTCGCATACAAAGTAGACAACGCACCTCGAGTATTAAACGAGTCACGTGGAGATGCAATGTATGCCGTAAAATATTTTCCCTTCTGGCTTGATGTTTTTGCTTTTAACATAGTCGTTTTTAGTTGCATTTATGCAAGAGGTTTTTCAGGAAACTTCTTGGCGTTTCACGAACGATTTCTTCTTTAAACGAGCTACTTTACATTTTTGTAAATAATATTACGAAGTATAAGAAATTCAATGATTGAAGATAAAATGAATTTAACTTTAAAACGTTCTTGTTCGCGAAGGGAAAAATTTATTTACTTTTTAACACGTTGAATGCCGTGGGGATGATCGGTGACCGGCGGTCTCAAAATTAGTAAAAGCATTTAATTTGAATAAATGGTAGTATTTGTAAAATTTTCACCTAATGCATCACGCAGCATATTTAAATAGTTTTATTTCTAACTATTGACATATTATTTATGCATATTGCAATGTGTTGTATTAGAATAAAAAATTCTTTTCGGCACTGTGGACAGGTTACGTAGAATTAGTCCGGCATTCAACCTGTTAATTTTGGGAGAAAAAACAGATCTCGCATTACTCTGCATTGCCACGCGGGAAATTGATAATCATTTAACAAACAATCCCTTGTTTATGTTGCATAAGGATTAGTATTACAATAAAAATTATATTTCAATCTCCACATTCCTCTGTTCCTTCCATCAACGCAAGGGAAGAAGGAGAAACTTTTCGAAAAGAGAAGGTTAAATGGAAAGAGAGACAGGATGTAGAGGAATAAAAATCAAACACTTTTTAAAAGTAGGTTGGAAAGTTAGATTGGAAAAACTTGTGGAACTAGATCGACATGGAAAACCGCGTTCTGTGTAGTGTTTCTTATTGTTAGTAAGTTTGATAATCTTTCTGTAACATTTGTATCAGTAACAGGAGAAAATTTCTTTTTCAACGATTCTCGAGTTAAAGGCAAAGCATAAAATTTACGTATCCTACCGTATGCAGGACTGATTTTAGGTACGGCGTAATATCTCGCTAATCTTGGGTGAAATAGAAGAGAAAATTAATTTCGATCTATTTATTGCAATTGACTTACTCTAAACACAATTTTTTTTTTTCTCGGTTTCTTATTGTACCGTAACCCTTTCAGGTATCTTTAATCATTTCTTTACTTATGCAACGATATTTGTTATCTTTTTACTTTTCACATAACCTGTACATCGAGTAGCCGGTTAAATAATTCCTCTTCCAAGTCGACCCTATCAATACACTTGCTTTTTATTACTACGTTACAGTATCGTAGAGACGCCTAGACACTTTTTTATAATCGCATATAATCGATAAGATCGATTTAGACAAAACTCGGTGATTCATGAAATTTCAATTGTCTGAACAAGGAAAGGAAAAACACGCTGTACCTGAATAAACATAAACCGATGCCGTAATAGGCTATTCTTACAATTCACGGTCATTACACGTTCTAAATTAATATTTTGTGGCCATTTGTCATGTGCGTCATTAGTTGTTCAACACGTCCGTTAAATTTAATGGTTTCGCTAATTATCGATTAAATGTGACAGCTTTGCCCGTAACGTCCAACGTTCGTTTTCAAGTTGTATAAAAAGAAGAAAGAGGAAAAAAACGTACAATAACGCTTGAAATAAAGACCAAACAAAATGGAATCACGACAGTTTCCGTAGGCAATTGGTGTTTCCTTATGTAGTTAGTACATGGCAGTATCGGCATGATATATTTTTAGTTTAACCCGACACGTCGAATATTTGTAAAAGGGGCGCTCGTGTTCCTTCTACCCAGGTAGAATACCGATATACTGTTGGAAACCTTATTGCATTACAAAAAGAACTTCTCGTTAGAAAATAGGATCCTGATCATTTTCTTTATTTACACGAGAAAAATAGAAATTTATTATTTTCTCTTTACTACAAATAAATTGTTCGATATTTAACGTCTCTCTTTTTTTCTTCTTTTGTTTTCTCTTCGTCAAATCTGCTTACGTTTTTAATCAACGTTGCTCTATTTTACTTATTGGTCGATTCGGGCGATATAATAAATGCAACTGCTCGTGTACGTAAAATCCATATTATTATTGCACAGGATATAATAATGACATAACGTTATATATAGGATATTATAAGAGGTATATAACATCGTATATATAAGATTATTTACGAATTATGGAAATCATTTGATATTCACATTTATTTGTCAAGATAAACGTCGAAAGTTAACGTCAATTAATATCGCGATCTAAAAGTGTAGTAAAAGATAGCGCTAATATTCTACGAATTGTATCGTTCGAAAGTGGAGGGAACATGGTGGAACAACGTATACTAGATGGCGCGACTAAAAATTGAATCTACAAACGCTATGTTTCAATAATAATAATAATAATAATAATAATAATAATAGTAATAATAATAATAATGTTATAATGATATCGATTAGTTGTTCGCTTCTTAATATTTTTCCTAAACAATTCCCTTCTCTCGGTCAGCATTACAATTAAATATATATATCCTTCCAAAATTGTTATCTTTATTCGCGAATCATGCGTAAAGGATCATTTTTATGTTTTATAGTTTGATTAGTAAAACACTGATTGCGTTCTACCTGGGAAGAGGCGAAGGAGACGCTTGAAAACATCTCAAATAATCGGGGAAAGACAATTAATGATCCACAGGATCACCGGAAGAATAATAAATGGAGTGGAAAGCAAAATGATGGGATTTAGGTTAGAGGAGAGGAGGACAGACAGGAGAAGAAAGGGGAATCGCTTGGTCCTACGTGAAAAAGTTAATAAATTATTATAACGTACTTCGCGATACTGATCGACCATAGGATAAATACCGCGGATGAAAATCTTGGAACAAATAGATATACACTTTTGTGTGTGTGTCTGTGTGTGTATCTTCTTCATTTTCATATCTTCTTTTCTTCTTTCTTCTATTTTTTTACCTTGTTTTTCAATATGGCATACGCATGTCTCTCGCAGCGAGAGACGAAAACTTGTGTACGTATATAAACCCGTGTACGCGTGGCGGTGTGTTTCTTTCGGAATCGGAAGGAGAAACGCCTCAGCGTACACGCGGGAAAATTTAAACGTCTTTATGTTTCTTTTTCCATGGCATATAGAATTTGTTTCTCGACCAATAGAAGAAGCCTTTCTCCTTAAGATACAAGATGTTTCTTAGTTTTTTTTGTTTGTTTGTTTGTTTTTTGTCAGGGTGGAAGAAGGGAACCGATACTTTAGGATCCGTTGTGCTTCGTTTTCCGATAGAAACGAGTGTGATCGACAAAGTGAATCTCTTCTCTCGTAGATGTCGCGACGGGCCGCGATCGTTTGTTCGTTTGTCGCCTTGTCGCGGAAGATCGTAAGGACACTTCCGCTTGGAGGCTTCGGCTTAACCCTTATTGCGACAGTATCATGAAACACGCGAACGGTTAATCTCTACTACGACCTAAAATGTTTATCGACATAACGTGCGAATTTTTTGCTTTTAAATTGGAATTAGAACGATGTTGCTTGCATGTGCAACTCGTTTCATTGTTTTTTTGAAAGTTTTCGGAAGTAATGTCGGTTTCTGTGCAATAAGGGCTAATTTAAATTATTTACACATTTGACAAATACAATAAAAAAAAAGAAATTGGAGATTAAAGATAAAGGTAGCATAGATAGAAGTATGAAATTTTAAGCCTAATCCTTAACGAAGATAAAAAGATTCCTCTCGTTAGCGTAGAAATAAATAATTTTTAAAGATAATGAGATGCTTCGTTAGAAGAGCATCACTATTATATTTGTGCCACGATGAAGTTCAACTCAAGAAAAGTACCAATGAAAATGCGAAGGATTAAACTGTGAATCGATCTAACATGTCCAAATATCGATATGTAAGATTAGGTGATAAATTTGACTACAATTAATTGCGACTTATGATACTCGAATACGCACTTAATTCATTTAAATTAATTAATCCATTGAATATGCTTCGAATCTCTCCTAAAATTTTTGCAATCAGCAGGTTCGGTAACGCAAAACGACATCGTTTACCCTTTACCAAAAATGCAAACACGTTGCAATGCGATCACTTATTGCAAACAATCCATTTAACCCACTAGATTATCGATTCAATTACACTATATATCGTATCTTAGGTATATTAATGACTTTTAAAAAATTAAGAACCTTAAGTTACCATTTTTACCTATCACTTTTTCCACGTAGTCATCGCCTAAGACAAATTTCTATTACCTAATTTTAGATTCTCTTTACGATATTATAATTCTACTTCAATCTAGCATTCGAAATAAGTTACAAATCTCCTATAAAGAGGAAAGAATCTTAAAAAAAAAGACAGTCCCACGTGTTTCAAAGTCTCGAAACCGACGGAAAAACTTTGCTTTTTTTTTCCTTCTGTTGAAACCGTGAACGAGCGTTGAGATTCCATAGAACAGGGCTTGAGAAAACGGGAAAGCGCCAATGGGTTAAGGGTTCTCTGCGGTCAACCCGTTAAAAGAAAAACGCCTCTGCAAATCAGAGGGAACCGATCGTTAAATAGAAAATGAGAAGAAAGCGTTCGGAAAAACAGGAAGGAGAGAAAGAGAAAGAGAGAGAAAGAGAGAAAAAACGGGTGAAGGATAAAGCGGAGGAAACGCTGATAAACGAGGTCGTGGTTCACGGGATTGGCGTTGAAGAGAAATCACGGTGGCGCAACGATCCTTCTTCCTTTCCCTCCTTCCACCGGGCCAGAATGATTAACGACATACCAGCAGCGTTTATCGCCCACGAATTTTCGCGCTCTCAGTCCTGTACAGGGGGGGAGGGTGGCGTGTACGTACGCCTGGATACGTATACGCTCTGAAATACACGCTGTGTAAATGCATTTGGAATTGGCGCGACCTTGCCGACGACGAGTACTTGCGACGGGGTGGCTCGTCAGCCATCGCCCTCTCTCTCTCTCGTTCGTTCGATCAGTGCACGATAGCCACAGAGAAAAATACATTAGTGTATTATCATATGATAAAAAGAACAGAGTCCGAACGTGGAAGTACAAAATACGCAGATTAGCGGTTACAGGTTAATCTAGAAAGGGTAAAACGACGTTCTACTCTCGGAGGTGGACCAATTACTTAATCCAGGATACTACTCGCGGCGACAGAGCACGTGAGTAGGAAAATAGAGCGCTGTGGAATTAAGGGAGGTTCCACCTCAGAAAGTGATCGATTACAAAGAATAGAGAGTGAGAATGCTCTTATGGTAAAACAGAGAACGTTAGTTTGGAAGTTAAGTTAGGTTAGGTTATTGAACGAATTATGTCGAACGGAGAATTATATAGATGTCTCTGATCGAAAGGTCGGAAAGAGATTAAGACGACGCTTCCCCCCGATGTGAAGGAAATCTCCCTGTGGTCAGTGCACGAGGTGTTTCGCGGGACCCTCGTGGGAGATTCCGGATGTGTCGTATCGTCGGCGGTGGCGCTTAATTCGGTCGAAGGACATCGTCTTTCTCGGCGTGGTATCGTGGGACAAAACTGGGCGGTGCCAAAGCCAGATAAGCTTTGTCGCCTCAAGCGTAGAATTCTCGATTGTGATGCGGCGCGCCTGGCTTAGGGAACGCCTGCGCCGCTGGTGATCTCCTTGGCTCGTCCAAGGCGTACGAACCCTCGTCCTTCTTGCGCATCCTGTACACGATGAACATCACCACCAGGATCGCGCAGAGCAGACCAACTACCGCACCGCCAATCACAGCTGGAAAAAAATTAGTTTTAATTAGACATTGCAGAAATATACATTTTTATAGTTGGAATTTTTTTATGCAAATACAATTATATTTTTTCAACGGATAGTGCATTCAAAAATACCATTCTGTCACCATCTAACCTTTGGTAGTCTAAATTTATGAACCAATAGTATTGTCAATTTTAACAAATTTTCAAGCTCACATTAGGGACAATTTTTTATTATGTTGATATTCTCAAAATATTGTTTCTAACTATCTTCTAATTTTTATTTATTTATTTAATGCTATCTATGGTAACTATGAGATCTTGAATATCATCTCAAATCTGAGATATCCTAAATAGCCTTACGAGAAATGGGGATTCATTACTCAGAGGCGTTAAACTATTCAGAGTGTTAATTATGTAGCGCATTTATTATGCGTGGCTCCGGATCGGTTAACTTAACCTAGAATTTCGCCGGAGTTACAGAGCCCTCGTGAATAAATACCGTTCCCGTGGAATGTTGATTCGCGTGTTGCCCTTATACTTCAAGTTTAATACTAAGGGAACGCGTTAATAAATAACGTGACTCCCTCGTGCTGTTTCGGCGGCCGTGAAACGCTGGGATTCTGGCTTTCAAAGGAATTACGTTTTGCGAATTCTACCGTGATTAATTGCACAACGGCGTATTTAATCATTTCACGGGTGTGTGCAGCGTAACTCTGACAATGAAAGACGTTTGACAATGAAAAATTCTAGGCGCGTATTGTTTGCAACGCTGCGTGCACTTTTCACATTTACCACTTTGGGAAACATGCATGATCTCTTCATAAATAGATTAATTACAAATTTGAAATTTCTTTATTCTAATTAATTTTGAAGCAACAGTCCACTTGAAGGTTCTTTTAAAATTCATAATTTCCAGTACTTGCATAGACTGCACGAATTGATCTAAAAACGATTTTTTTATTTTTACAAATAAATAAGATGCTTTCATTATCTTGAATATATGCGATTTTATAAAACAATTGAAACATTCAATCCTAAAAATTACCATTTAATAATAGAGCGAATAATTGAAGTTTTCAATTGCAAAAGGAATAAAGAGAAAGACACTTACCTGCCAGCACACCTGGCTGAGCAAAGAAGGAGCTGGCACGGTCCTCGTGTTTCGGGTTCATGATGTATACTTCGTGGATGTCGTCTGTGTTCTCCGGGTGGTCGTCCTCGACATCTAAGGGCTCGATTACATCGACCTCGTCGAGTCGGTTTACAGTCTCGACGTTCGTCTGTAACGGGACACCGCTTAATCAGTTTAATCCGTTTAATTCGACCGCTCGCCAGGAGGCGTGTGTTTTCAAACAAATCTAATAACCCGCCTTAACGTGCACACGCGTTTCGGTGGGTTTCCCCTTTGAGTTAAAAACAGAGGTTAGGTTAGGTGTATCTTTTCATTGTTAAACGGATCAATGAATGGCAGTGTAAGCTAACACTGAGCTTGAGGTGTAGAAAGGTGTATCTGAATAAGCTTAGTGCAATCGAATAACGATATTCTTTGAATCTATTTTTTTAACAGTGTAAAAAAAAGATATATAGTGTAATTTAAGAGAAGTTTTTTCAATTATATACTTCAATGGTCAAATTGGCAGACTTGTGTAGCTTGAGAAAAATGTCCAAAACAGTGTTTTGAAAGTTACGATGATAAATTTGAGAGTTTCTAATCTTAGGGGAGGAATCTCGACAACGTGTATAATTAATCACGTGATCTTTAGCTGCATTCACCTGCTCCTTAGTTTTAACACTTGGTTCGTCGACAGAGTATGGTGCTTTGGGCTCAGGCGGCCTGTTGGGCGGCGGTTCTATCCTATTATTGTTATTGAAATCTGCAACAGAAAGAGGGAAAATGATAATATACATTTTGAAAATTAACGTCCAAATATAATGGAACATTTATTTTCATTGTTCACCAGTATACTTTCAACGATCAAGGATTAAACGAACGATCGGGAGATTGGATATGAATGACGTGTGGGCGATAAAAGCGTTACGCGTTACCAGTTTGGCAATTTGAAAAAAAAAAAAGAGAAACAAATGGTTGGTAAAAAGGGGGGGGGGGGAGAATTTTTTTTGCAAAATCGCGCGACGCGTACAATGCGTTCTACGAGCTGTGCTTTTATTGAAAAATTTCGAGCAGAATAGGGGGACACGAGCTCTTCCTGCCGTCGATCTCCACGCGTGCCTTTCGATCGTTGATAGAATCTACACGGCCGAGTAGCTTTCCGAAAATGGCCCAGTCGATGCTCGATTGTTTCGTGTGCACCGTAAATGTTCCAATTCTCTCTCTTTTTTTCTTTCTTTTCAAACTGAAATTCGATTCTTTCCCGTACACAACGAACAACAATTATATTTCAGTTCGATCTGCAGTTTATCGATATCGAATTCCTCTAAATTTCCATGCACAGGAATTTTTTGAGGTTAGGTTGGATTTCTTTTACGTTCTATATTTTTTTTCTCTTTTTTTGGAGATTTGATGTAATTGTACTTCCTGTAGTAATCAAACAAATGATGATTTATGAATTTTTGGACGAAGTAGGAGTTTCTTTGTTTCATTATTTTTTGAGGAATGGCACACAACGAACGACAATTATATTTCAGTTCGATCTGCAGTTTATCGATATCGAATTCCTCGAAATTTCCATGCACAGGAATTTTTTGAGGTTAGGTTGGATTTCTTTTACGTTCTATATTTTTTTTTCTCTTTCTTTGGAGATTTGATGCAATTGTACTTCCTGTAGTAATCAAACAAATGATGATTTATTGGACGAAGTAGGAGTTTCTTTGTTTCATTATTTTTTGAGGAATGGAGAATGATACGAGGAGAAATAACGTTTTACCGTGATCGTCGTCGCCGTCGTCGCCGTCCTCGTCGTCTGGACCAAGGCCACTTCCAGATGCTTCAAGGTCGTCGCGACCTTCGCTGCCACCTCGACCAGAACCATCCAAAGACTCCTGGTCGTCTAGGTAGAGATCGTCCGGGAACGAGTTGTACGTTGAACTCGCTCCCGTTGTTCTCTCCTTCTCGCTTTGATCCTTCTAAAAGAAACAATTCAATTTTCTTGTATTTCTGTTCGGTAACACACAAAAAACAAAAAGAAAATCAAGAATTGAAAAGTAAAAGAAACATTTTTAAGTTAATAATATTTTAAATGCTTCTGTAAGTTCACAAGTTAATTTGCAGGTTTGATCGAATAAATGGTACAGGTAATGAAAGAGAAAGATAAAATCAACGACGAACGAACGTGAAAGTGAGAAGCAACACACGAGAAGCTTGTTCAAAACATCGAAACCATATGGATAGACACCACCGTTGTTTCGTCTCAATTTTCTAGACTTCATTTTTTGCTTCGACGAGACTGCGTTGCGCCCCAAAATAGAATCCATTCCCGTGGACACGCTTGCGTGTTGTGCTATCGAATTACGGCACGCAACGGCAGTAACATGAAAGCTGCGTTTCGTTTCTTTTCTAGTGGGTTCGTTCTTTAATGTGGTGTCGTGTTTAACAAGAAAAAAAGAGCGAAATGGTACGTGTCATTTTTGTAGCCCGTATTTCAAACGTTTGTATAACACGTCTTAATAACATTCTAAATGGGAAGCATTTAGAACTATTTCCGTTACGTTAGAATCGTAATGGCTGTAGGATGTAATGAATTGTAACGGTATAAAGTGATGTGAAATCGAAGTAAAATAACATATCCGGGAACACAGTGATTAATAATAGTAAGTCTGCAGAACACGTCAAGGAAACTTCAAGCTGTGATTTCCGGTTAAGCAACGTTAGTGGAATGCCAAGAGTGACGTGCTATAAAGTTCAGAATAATAAATGGCGCGATTATCGTGATTGTCTCCTGATTGATTTCGCGATATTTCTTTCATTTATTCATTTCTATGAAATATCTCCAATATCCTTTTCATCATGTGGACATAATACATGACAGACGAATGGATAATCAATTTCTATCTTGTACTGTTACTTTCTAACCGAAGAAATTCTGATTATAACCTGATTTAACCTTACACGTCTAAGAATCTATTTGAACTAACCACATTTTTCAGAATTTGGTGCTACATCGAAATAGCTCATTGGGCTTCAGGTATTGCCCGGAAACAGCAAGGGAAACAATCGATTGAAAGAGAGACAGAAGTGCGCACATAGGATTCACCGTTTATATACACGCTGTACAATTAAATACGAACGAGCAGCCCGCCAAACACTATAGCCCCGAAATTTCAACGTTACTAGAGGAAACTAATCACGCCGCTGTAAAGCTCCATCTGGCGTGACCGTGTTTACATAGAGCGACCGTTACGCTAGTGAAAAGAGCATTCGCCGAGCGTAAAGGCGCATTATGATATCCATTCGATTGCATAATAGATTCTCAATCGAGGTTTATTGGTCGTTTGATTTTGACTTTGCAGCAAGAAAAAAAACTTGTAGAAAATGAAATTCCCCATGCCATAGAAAATACCCTATTTTTACTTTCGATAATTTATGTTGTATTTAGCACAGAAAATGATGTTTCCGTGATTCAAGAAATTCTCAAGATATAATTGATATAAAGTAATAGATAACAGGGAGCGAAACTACTTTGCTTTCGTAATTATGCATTAACGAGGGTATTAATTACAGCAACTTTTCGAGGTCGATTCCGAGGGCTTTCGTCCTTGCGAATAATTTCAATTTCTCAGTGGCAACCTTTTCACGAGGCTTCTTTAATTAAAAACAGCCGACGACTCGGACTTTGCAACGGTTATTGCGAACCGGCTTGGTAACGTTGATTGAAAGAAGGGGAAAAAATGAAATTTCTTGAAGATTCAATTTAAAAGTAATAACCGCGCGAGAGTAATGTTGACGATGGAAAATAAGTGAAATGATGGATGGGAAATGGGTAATGTTATAAACAAAATTATATGTTGCTTAAAAATATCGAATATTGAAAGACGAACTATATATTCATATTCAGTGAACGTACTTATGGGTTTGACACAAATATCCTTAAATTTCTAATATCAAAAAATTATTAATTCCTGTCATTTTTACAACGAGTTATGTTTCTACAATAACATACTTAGATAGGAACACATACCAAGCAAAAAGAATAAAAAGTTCCAGCCCTTCGGTCCTAGCGACTTATCGAATTTTCTAGCACAACCTCAAACAGCGACAACTGTCATGCACTGACCTACAATTATTTTCTACAACGTGCAACCCGCTAACTGAAATGCTTGCGTAAAGCAATACCAATCACTACATCACCAGGTATTGGATCATTCAGGCTTGCACAAGGTTGCGAGAGCAACGTCCGCGAATGATGCACCGGGTGCACGCGATCGTGCGTACGGATACATAGGAGAGCGCGTCTCTCTCGCAGCTGATCGATAACACGAAATTCGTCCTTGTCCCGGGCCAGCTACCCACCACGTCGAAACAATTACACGCAGTAGCTTACCTCCTGATTGTTTCTCGAGACACGCCTGATGTTCTCCTGTCTTTCAGTCACGATATTTCACGCAGTCTGGCCAACACGCACGAATCCGCTTTCTCTTCGACTTTTTTCGCTGCTGTCTGCGGAAGAAACGCAAGAATTGCGCGGGCGCGCGATGTTATCGACCTCTTTCGCGCATTCTGCCGCATTACGCATTTTTTCTTTTTCATCTTCTTCTCGTTTACCTTATCATCGCGGCCGGAAAAGCGAACAATGCAGCTACGTTCGCATGCAAATGACTAAAGGCTAAGGTCACGGCTCTCGAGATCCACTTGTCCCGCCTTTTTTACACGATTTTCGCGGCAAACGTAATTAAGATTTTTCAATGAGAACTAGCTTGAATCAAAACAAATGGCAGTTTACGTGGCTACTTACGGGTTTGCTGGTGGAGCCAGTGACAAGTGTCCTCGAACTAAACGTCAGAAATGGAGAATTTTTTGGCAGGTAAGACGCGATACGCTTTTGAGGCAAGTGGTGACTGCACTGATGTAGTACGGGGTCGAGCCTGTAGACGGCACTGCTCCAGGCTACTCTATATAGCTCCTTTACAGATATAAAACGGGAGGACCTGGCCAGGACCGTAGCACTAGATACCCTGGTTTTATTCAAATTTTTTTGCTCCTGGTGATCGATTGTTAGGTATATAGGTTGTGCATGAATATGAAGTGCTTTAGAGAACCGACCACCCTTAACGTAGTAAATTCTTTTGTATACTGGATTCTCTGTATTGTAGCCTGTTTCACAATTGCAAGGTGTATATTTCGCTTTTTCTTTTTCGAGACACAACGCACGCTGTAGGTACATCGGAATCCTCCAAGTCGATACGCAATGGGGTTCGAAATATACGATAAGTCGCGTGATAAGGCGATCCGTTAGATATTTCCTCGTTGTAGGATATTGAAAATCCACCTGCCCGACCAGAGCACGCGACCATACGTATATATGTATGTGTGTACGTATCTACATGTGTCGCGTTCTCTCAGGCACCGCTGCGTATTTGAATAGGATCGGAATCTTTCATATTGGATCCGAATCCCGTGGATCTTAACTCGTGTGTTCGTTCTCTTGGATTTCGTTCGTACGTATGTACGTTGCTCCATGCCCATAGTCATGATCACGCATCTGTTTTGTTTTACATAAGTTTATCTAGCGAGAAGAAAAGAGACGGATGTTTTGAAGACGACGGGACGCTGAATTTCCAGCGAAACTGATATCCCGCCACGAAATAAATCAAACATCCGACAACTACGCAATTTCTGCCACGGCACAAGAATTTATTGAAAATCCGGGAGACACAACCTCCATTTGCAATTTTTCCAAAAGAAGGTAAAATCAATTTCTACTCGTACGGAAAAAGGCTACTGATCGTTCAAGTCAGTCGACAACTGTTGAAGAATAAAAACCTACATTGCGCGTCCATTATTTTTCAATAATCGATGCCACGAAAACAAAACCTACGGGCGCATTTACAAAGCGTGAACGCAGCGAGGCTAATTGCAAACGCTTTTTTAAGTCGCAAACCACGAAATGAATCCAGATGGCAGTGTAGGCGTGTGGATTGTTCGAATGGTTCAAAAGTCGATAACCATGAAATTTCCGCAACAAGAGGAAAATTAAACCGGTCGAGTACCGGTAGAGCTGGTTTACCCCAAGGGAAGGAGGAGGGGTCGTTCATGCTTGCGGACGAATGTCAGGCGTGCTCCTTGAAGCGAATTTCCTGGACGAAATTTCAACCGATTAGATTTCGTGCGACCCTTCGTACGCGAGAGATCGATTCTCCCGTCTCCGTAAAGGTAGCAGAAACGGTTTATGGTGACACGAACTTGAATTTCGCGCCGCGATCAAAATTACGTCAGCGAGCGACATTACCAACAGCGCGAACTGAACGACCGCTGTCGTAAGCTGACGAGCCCCGTTTCAACATCAGCGTGTTAGGACAATTGACAGCACGCTAAAGTAGAAAAAAAGAAAACCCATAATGACAATTGAAAAACGCCTTTGTGACGTGCACAAGAAAAGAAGCGAATAAAGGATAATCAAGAGCAGTTGTGTCGAGTTGTTAACATTGTACCCACAACAGGTTCGTTAAGTGCGTAACAGAGCAAATAGACAGACTGAGAAAGGAACGGTGGAACGAGTAAAAAAAAGAAGAGTGAGAGAAATAGAGTGTGAACAAATGGCAGAATGAGTGTGTGAGCATGAGTGGAGAAGGAGAAAGGTAAGTTTCAAGTGGCGACTTGCTTCTGAATTTCGTTTCACACTCGATGGGTCGTGTCTGAATCGTATTACCGGAAAATTTTGCGCTAAGTTACGACTGTCTCTGTTATCCCCTGATGCGCATTCGGTTAGTTATTTTTTTTCTCCTTCTTTTTGGTATGCTTGCGAACGATGCATTACGTTCAAAGTTATTTTTACGAATCGATGATATTTTCAAATTCTAAGATCTATTTAAGATTTATTTTTCCGACATACGTTTCTCCATTAGTTTTCAATTTTCTTTTCGCCCAATCTCCCAGGGACATTCACCGAGCGACAAAATATTCTACATGT